GACCCTGTGTGGGGCTAGGCTAATGTGTGTGTTTGTGTCTTAGTTTTTAACAAAAAGTTTAAAAAATATTTAAAAATAGAATGGAGCTTATAGAGGATACAAAGAAAAAAATTGAACAGCTGTACAATATGCTTGTGTTTTAAATAAATGTCATCACAAAAGAGTAAAATTAAAAAAGAATTTTAAAGTTTATAAAGAAAAAAGTTACAGTAAGCCAAGATTAATTTATTATTGAAGAAAAATATTTTTATAAATTTAGTGCAGCCTAAGACTACAGTGTTTATGAAGTCTACCATAGTGCCCAGTAATGGCTTAGACCGTCACATTCACTCACCACTCCCTCAATGACTCACCCAGAGCAACTGCCAGTCCTGCCAGCTCCATTCATGGTAAATGCCCTGTACAGGCCTACCACTTTCTATCTATTGTACCATATTCTTACCACATCTTTTCTGTTCAGATATGTTTAACTACACAAATACCTACCATTGTGTCACAGTTGCCTCTGGTATTCAGTACAATTACATGTAGCAAAGGCTTTTGGGCTCAGAGCAATAGATTATACCACAGAGCCTAGGTATGTGGTAGGCTGTACCATCTAGGTTTGTGTTACACTCTGTGGTGTTCACAAAACTATGAAATTGCCTAATGACATGTTTTTCTAAAATATATTCCAGTAGTTAATGACTGTCCCTTAAAAAAGACTGGGACTGGCCTTGGCCAGGTAGCCCAGTTTGTTAGCATGTCATCACAATACACTGAGGTTGTGGGTTCAGCCCCCAGTCAGGGTACATACAAGAATCAACCAATGAATGCATGAATAAGTGGACCAACAAACTGATGTTTTTTTCTCTCTGTCTCTTTAAAATCAATTAAAAAAAATTTTTTTAAGGACTGGGGCTGATCCAGCCACACCCAGATTTAAGTCCCTAGTAACCTTTCTGCAGAGAACACATACAATACCTTCTAAATAGCTCAGTGTTTATGTTTGCTTACAGCTATAGCTGGGGAATGTTTCAAATTTCTTTCTATTGTTGTATTATCTTAACCTTTCATTTCCTTATATTCATGTTTCTTTCTAAGCCAGTAGTAGTTGAGGAATAGTCTAGATCAAATGAAAACAGAAGAAGCCTACTGCATAAACTGGGAGTAGGTTCTGAATAGTACTGACTAGCAGGGCTGGAAGGGTGCCAAGTTGTGGGAGAAACACAAACCAGGTGCAAGAAGGTGGCAATTAGAGGCGTCCACATAGAATGCCAGCACTTTCCCTTGGCATCAGATGCGACTGCATGATGGGCCCAGGTTGGCTAACTGGGAAACAGATTTCCTAAGGAAGGACTGCTCTATTAACATTTGAACTGGAACTCTAGAGCTTACTAACTCTACAATATTTTTCTTCTATCTTTCTCTTTACTGATATTACTTGTTGGCCTAGCTATTGTGGAATTATATCTCCAAGCAGTATCTTACTCACTGTTTCTCTAATCCTTTCTATAAAAAATTCCCCCCACCCCAACCACCCAGGTACAGAATGCTTTTATCCTTTCTTCCAATCTTCTCATAGCTATCCATTCAATCCCACAAATCCAAGCCACAGCCATCTGGCACTCTGCATATTCTCAAGTCAGGCACAATGATAGGTGGTAGTGTGGTGAGTGATGGGGAAGACAAAGATGGATGTCACATTTCTTACCCTTAAGAAACCCAAAAACTAAAGAGGTAGGGAGGAGAAGAATATTCACTTAGCAGTTATTATAATTCAATGCTGGCAGCAGTGGCATTGAGTGAAAGAGAACCCAGAGTTGGAGTACCAGCCATCTGAGAGGTGGGTTAGCTGAGGTGGCTTCTGGAGGAGGTAACATCCTGGGTGGGTTATAAAGGATGGATGGGAATTACATAGAGATGCTAGGAAGGGTATCCCAAAGAGGACATCATAAAAAGCCACCAATAAAAAATCAGGTAAAAATTGTCGAAGTGTGTAGAGCCAGTGGGTTGGTGGAACATAAAATATGAGGCATCAAGTAAAAGAAATAAGGGTAGAGAGGTGGGTGGGGAAATGAGAGGGCATCAGGTCGTGGAGGTCCTGCCACATTAAGAGCTTCACCCTGACCCTCAAGATAGTGAGGAGCCACAGTACAGCTTTAAACAAGGGAACAACAGGTGCTCTACCAGCCTTTCTGGGGGTTCACCACTGTTGGACTCTGGGGAGCAAAAGTCCCTGGTGCCTTCTTCCCACAAAATTCCTAGGACCTGGATTAAAAAATTCTTCAAAATAAGAAGAAAGTTGAGTTTTAAATTAGCTCCCTAAGTATCTGTATATGATCTAGTTAAATAAAAAACACATCTTGTGGTATTTTGTTTCTCACTTATAGACAACAGAGCACTTAAAATAAGGACAATTTTTCTTTTATCTGTGTATTTTTGTGGTGAACTTAAAAAAGTATATGTACTATTTTCTACACATTTAATTAGTTTTATTATCTATAAACTTAATAAAATATCTCTGCAAGTTTATATAAGAAAGCAATAATACTAGTTGCTGGTGGAGGGCAAAATTTAAAAATTTTAAATCTTGTAAATATATTTCCTTTTTTACAAAAAATATTTTATTTATTATTTTTAGATAAAGCAGGAGGGAGGGAGAAATAGAGGGAGAGAAACATCAATGTGCAAGAGAAACATCCATTGGTTGCCCTTCACACCACCTGTCCCTTAACCCAAGCATGTGACCTGACCGGGAAATGAACCAGAGACCTTTTGATTCACAGGCTAGCACCCAATCCACTGAGCTGCACCAGCAGAGCTATTTCCTCTTTTTTAAAAAAAGCTAACTTTAAAAATTGTTTTAAAAATAGGGATAGATATTTTGGGGCTGGGGAACATTTTATGAGAAGTTGGAGTAGGGAAAATTAGCCTAATATTCTAACATTATACTGAAATTAGCCCAACATACTAAACAGTCACTAAATTTAATGCTCAGCCATTCAAATCCTGAAACTTAAATTCCATGAATCATGTCCGCCTGCTTACAGAGGTACCCTCAGTACACAGAATGGTGCTTAGTACCATAAAAAGTTAAATAAATACATGTTGACTGCCAAAAATACGTCAAAATATTCTATTCTTTTTTGAAGACTTCTTTTCTGTACTGTGTGAAGACAGAATCCTCAACACATTCCATGAGCCAGACCAAAGCCTGGTTCAGGTGAGGCTCAGGAGGCTAGCATAGATGACAGTGTGGGGTGTGGTGACCAGTTCCAGCAAGGACAACCCTCGCATGACTCAAACTAGCACAGCAGCCCACGAAGCCTCAGCATGCTGTCTTCCTACACTCACACACACACACCCTGCTAACCTTATTTCCAGCTTAAAGTGGTGAAGTGGAGCTTCCTTCCACCACCCTCATCTTTTCTCCTGTCTGTGATTCACAGGGGACTTTGCTTTAACATACAGGAAAGAAAAAGTAATCATTCCTTCTCTTCCTGGTACAAGAGAAACAGTTCAAACTTCAGGCCACACAAGTCCAGGATCAGATCTCACTTTGCCTTAAACAAGCTCTGTGGAGATGAGCACAGCACTTCAGTCTCTCCAACCTCTTTTTCTTCATCTATATGGGGGGGTAACAATGATTTTGTTCTTATAATTAAAAGAAATGATATAGAACATCACATATTTGGCACAAACTATATCAACAAAAACAATATTAAATTCCGCATATATAATATTTACATGAGTTTTAAATAGTTACTTATAAATAATGATAAACACTTACTACACTATGGTAAATGTTGGTTCGCTCCCCCCCATAAGTCTTTATGATCTGACAATTTAATATATCTGGAAATAAATTGCTCAGAGAATAGCATATGTCTCTGTGTCCAGTTACCTTGCTGAACCTCTTTCTGGCACTTTCTCTAGGAAGATTTCTGTGACCACCACTCCAGTTTAGCTCTTAGGAATGCTGCATTTATTGGGCACTTAATAACTCCTGTGAGTGTGCTTTCAGATATGAGGGTAGTTTCAAACAGCACTCAAATGCCTCAACAATAATGATAGTACTTGTAAGAACAGGGAGTTATTTCAAGCACAGCGGGCACAGAGCCACCCTCATACAGGGCTGACACCCACAGGTAATCTCTGGTAATATACGGGAAACGGAATTTTGAAAAGAAACACAGTCCTGAATCAAAGAGGGAGTGTGGTGCTGTCTTATGCATTCAGTTGCCTGGCATACATCAGACTCCTTTCCACATTATTAATAACAACAGAAAAGACTTCACAGCATATAAACACAAGAAGTTGCAAACTGGAATTTCTAATAAAAATCTGTGCCTTAAAAATTAGGCATTTACTTTGGCTCAACTTCAGCTAGAATGTTTCCCTGTATGTTTCATATCATTCTTCTATACAATAAACTATCAAACTAGATTTATTGAACCAAGTCAGTTGAGACCTGGGTATTTGTCCAGGTCTTAGACTAGAGACATTTAAACCATAATGATAACTTGTGAATTGTCCGAAGAGAATTCAAAGATTCTGAAAAGAGCCCCGTGAACTATGAGCAATGGCTTTGAGCATCCGTGCAGTGCTCTATAACATCTCCTGAAAGAAATACTATGTACTTCAGCTCCTAAGCTCTGGAATGCTTATGAAATCATCAATCTCATTATGCTACAGCTGTGCATATGGAGGACTACAAAAAGCATTCATTCCAAAAACTGAGCTAAAATGGACAACTAACTATATGATACATGGTCAAAGGTGGCTTTGCCAGAGCTGTAGCTCAACAGATTTCTTAGATTACTATATTACACATAGTTAGTTATAAGACAACAGATCTGGCACTAAACTGTCACTAAAAAGCAACCAGGCTAAGTTTCCTAAGCATTTCAATTTTTTAAAAATAACTTCAAATGAGTCAGATCTTTAGAGGAGCTGAATAGTGGTAGCAAACTCAATCTATGAATAAAGAAAAAACGGTAATGGAAATTAGTACCTACTTGGAATCCTATTAAGTGTCACCCAGAAATGTTCATCAGGACTATAGGTATCTTTTGACCAGTGCAGTAGATCAATGGCCCTTTTGTCATGGAAGATGAAGTTGACAAAGTCTCTGGTAAGGGCCACGTAGGCAGTGCCAAAGTAGATGGTCAGCTGATGTGGAGGTGAGGTTTTCAAAATGTTAGTATTTTTCACAAAAGAGCCATCTTTGCCTATGTGCTCTTGGTGGACATATTTAGTCCGGCCAATTGCATGAGCTGGAGGCAGCACCCCAGGGGTAATGTTTTTCCCTTTAAATCCTTTCAGATACTGAACTATTTCTTTGTTGGTTTTCAGGGGAAAATCTTGTCCACAGGTGTTGATGACATACTTCCATGGGACCTCAGAGGCTACCAGGTCTTTAAGGCAGTTCAGGTCAGCCTGGAGCCTGGAAATGCCGGCATAGACCACAGGCTCAATCTTCGAAGCAATGAAAGCATTTTGAAAGCAGCTCAGTAACTGCCACACAGTTTTCTTAAACTCTGCTGTGGCTTTCTCATCCACGTGAACACAGTAAACATTTTGGGGCATGTAGATAGCCCTGAAAAGCCTTTCAAAAGTATCAAAGTCTTTATGGATGACCAGGACATATGCCAAAGGGAATGCCACTTCTTCTTCTGACAGGGGGCTAGTGATGTAGTGATTCAGGATCAGGTAGTCCTTGCAAGGAACACTTCCCAAAGGTGATGTCAACGTCTTCTCCCAGAAAAAAGTTGACTTATCTTCTAAGGCATCCTTACAGGCATTTATAACAGAATACCTTTCACTGGAGCTATTCAACCTCCTTTTTGGCAGGATTAATTGGCTACTGTAAACTATCACAAAAATAACTACAGTGAGCACAGTGAAAGCAAAAAGGTAATACTTCCAAAAGTTCATTATTTTCGATAGTTTGAGGAAAGAATCTCTCTCCAGGGATTGGGAAATGATCAATCAGTCCCTGAAATCACAGGTGTGAAGACGCTGAATGGACTCCCTTTGCCAGTCTTGAATGTCAACAGCTTCTCAAACGGGCTTCCTTTCCGGAGTCCTTTAATCCTCATTTATTCTCTACTTTAGTATCGCGTCCATCTTCTTGGGCAGTGGTGGGAGAGGACATGCTTCTCCAACAGGCACTGGTCTCAGGCCCCAGGCGCTGGGACGAGAGAGCGAGCAGACACCAAACAGCAGTGGGCAGACAGCAGAGCGCAGACAGCAGAGAGAGCAGAGCGGAGGCTCAGCCCGCCCAGCCTTCGGGAAGCCCTCCTCATTTGCATATGAAATGCAAGTGGTGGATCACAGCAAATTACGTTCTGGAAAGGATTGACCGCTCCTTTTCACTGGGGTTGAGCTTCTCTTGCTTCACCCCACCCCTTTCCATCTAATCTATTCCGATTTTATCTCCCTTCTCTTTTCACACTTTCCTCTGGCATTTTAGAATAAGTGTTCTCCTTTTTCGGGTCAGCCCTGTGGCCTGCTAGCACGCCTTGAAAACCACTGCATTTCAGGCTAATACTCCTCTGCTTTATATCTCTTTCTGCTAAGCTTTATCTCTTTCTGGCTTGTCTTTTCATTTCGGTGTTATCTCTACCTCTGAGCACATACCGACACAGATAAGGAAAAAATGCACTTGCAACAGCAAGTTATCAGCAGCTAAAAATTGGGAGGTAGGTGTTTGCTGGATTAAATGAGACAGTTTCTGATGGTGTTACATAGCATGCATATATATATGTCATGGGCATAGGATGAAGGCAGAAGGAACCTAGGAGTGACTTGAAACGTTAAAGTGTTGCTGTGGATGACATGAATGAAATAAACACACCTTAGTTTGCCCGCCAGAGAGAAAGGTGATAGTCATTGTTCCCAGAGAGCAAAAGCTGGTTCTCATTTCACAAAGAGCTTCAGATAACTCATGTTGTTGACATGGTATTATCTACAATATGTAGAATAGCCACTGGGTCTCTTTATAAGCCTGACATCCTGAGATTTGAGGGCATTTCAGAGAAATCAAAGTATTTTACCTCCCACCCAATGCCCTCACCCACTTCCTTATTCTAAAGAAAGAACTAAGACTCCCCAGACTATAGCAAAATTCCTGGAAGTATCAGCTGGTGAGATTCAGATAAGCCAGGAAGAGAAACCCAACAGGTCTGGTCACATTACAGAGGGGTTCTCAAAGCTCATGTGTGTGCCAGGTGCTTCCAGCACTCAGCAAATGTGGAGTGAGCAGCTGCAGACTGATGCAGGTTGTAAGGATGCTTCTGGGGGAATGTAACAAGTTCTACTAAAAGACTAGCCATGGCAGTCACAGTGGGTCTGCTCCCATCTCGCTCCCACAGTCACCCAGCTATCCTACCTGTCTGGGCATGGTGTAACAACTGAAGCAGCTGCCCCTGTTAAGAAAACAGCTAGTGTACAATGAAACAATCTTCCTACCCTCTCCTATCCAACACCACCCCTTAACTTCCTGTAATGCCCTGGACAAATGAATGAATGGCCACAGTAGCACGGATGTGACAGACAATGATTTGGAGATAAACCCAAAGTGTTGACAGGATCTTAAAAATCACTTAACCCAACCTTTATTTTATAGATGAGAAAACTAAGACCAATACAAATATTTTTTTTCTAAAGTCATTCCACTGGATAGAAGCCAGCACCTTAATTCTGCAGATCCCTAGGCCAGATGCTAGAGCCCATCTAATTGGCTTCAGATCCCAGCTGGTCACTGACCAGCTAGCTATGTGACCAGGGTCAAGTTACTTAGCCTCTCTAAGCACCATGTTCTTCATCTGTGAGATGGAAAATAACAGCGGTTGCTATTTCACATGGTTAGAATATTAAATGAGATAACTCTTGTTCAGGGTTTATGTATACAGTCACATATGTTCAGTCAGCATTAGCAATTTTTGTTGTTGCCATTTTTATTTTGAAAAATATATAATATTTCTGGCCCTGTTAATGAAAGGACTTTTTTTCGATGTAGCTCAGTAATTTTTATTGCAGCTGGAAGACAATACAGCACAGAAGCTTTATGGTAAGTCTGGGAAAAAGTGTTATTTACAGTAAATGACAAAAATTTGTCTTTGGTAATATGAGTACATATGAAGAATGCAAAATGCAAGTATGGATCAGCTATGAGCTTTCATGGCCTCAACGTACATACTAAGGAAAAGCTGGATGTTTAAGAACTGAAATGGTGCTAAGTTTCATCTACAAGGGCATGTGGGGGTGTGGGGGTGGTCTTAGGCCACAGTAATGAAAGGATGAAATACAATTTCTAGGTTTGACAGATTCAAGATATTGAAGTCTTCAAGAATCCAATATGGAATATTAATTAAAAAGCAGGGAAGATAGTTCTCCACGTCTGCAAATGAAACACAGTGGAAATAACTATTGTATGTATCCCAGATAAATAGTCTTGGTTTCAGTACTAACAAAACAAACAGAAAGGGTACTTGTGAGCACATCACAGTTAAGCCAGAAGTGATCTTTCACCTGGATAGATTTCAAAAGTACAAGATACAGCAGGATACAGCACCATGGACATATCGCTTTTGGATGTTAAAAGATGGATTCTTTTTAAAAACCACATTTTCCTTCCTTAAATTTTGGTCAGTGAAGCTGACAGTTCTTTGGGGAACTGTGAAAGAATGGCAAGGTCACACTCATTTTTCATCATAAAGCCACCAAGCTGATGAGTCTGTGCTTAACTCAAGAATGACCAGTGGGGGAGAGAAAACAGGGAGTTCCCTGCCAGCAGGAATGCTCTCTCAGAGGAAGAGGGGTTAACAGATGAATTCACAAAGGTAGGCAAGTCTATACAGAACACTGAATGCCATGCCTAAATCCTCCTGAAACTCCAGAAACAGGAACACCACACCATGCACAGTCTTTGATTTACACACTCCATTACAAAGGGGAAAAAGGACTCCAATACAACTTTGTAACTGTGTTAACTGCAGTATAAACTGAAGCCCTGAGTTTGGCAGGTAACTAAGAGAGGGTTATCCACTTAGGTTACATGACAACAGTGTTGGTGTATATGATATATAAAATATATAAATAATACATTATTTTTATAATAATAAAAGTGTAAGTATACTTTTTATAAGTATAAATAATAAACAGGTACTATTTAAATTAAATTACAGTGCTGCATTATGTGCATAACGGTGTTTGAGATAGTACTGGAGGGCCAGGGCCTATGACACTAAGGACTTAACTGTCCACATTGGTAAGTCACAATCTAGAGGGGACACAGAGTTTAAATGTGCTCTTTTGGTGGCAAAAATCCTGAAGATGAAAGAAAAAATACTTCTCTGCAGAAACATAAAAACAAATTGCAACATCTGACCAACTGGGACCCACCAGAAAGAAGACTCCCAGCCTGAATCAAGTGAGTCAATTTCAGAATGAGGCCCTCTGTGTCCTCACCAAGCCAAGGGGCAGGAGGCACCCTGTCTCACTCCCTACTCCAAGAGTAGGGAAGCATTTAAGCACAGGCCTATTTATGAGAGAATATTTTGCTCAAGTGTAATTCACTTAGGCTGGGAATTCTTTCCCAAATGTCAGGTGTTCTTTCAGCTTCCAAAGTAGCAAATGTATCTGTTAGTCTGACAGGTCACCTGAGCACCATGTGGGGGTGTTGGTGGTTTTGCTTTCATTTCTTCTGCAGGAGAGGTGGTGTCTGGTGTGTCATTGCAGTACCTCACATACTCACATGAAAATGGGGTAGGGGGACCAGGGAACTATAGCGATATTTAAAGATGTGTTGGAAAACAGCCACGAGCACCTCAGCACCATGACATCTACAGTTACTTGCTGTTGGCTCTTGGATACATTTAACAGAAAGATACTGTAGCTCTTTTTTCTTAAATGACATACACATATACAATTATTTTTATACTACTACAATTGCCTTTAATCTTTATCTAGTGCTATGTAGAAAGGGTTTGTTTGCATGATAGATTTTTCACAGCCTTATAATATACCATAACTTCTTACTTCCCCTCCTCCTCTCTAATCATCTTTTCAAGAAAAAGTTCTTTGGTAAAGCTATCTAAACCAAAAATGAACCAAACCCACATTTGGAGGGTGGTTGGAGACAGCTGTGGCCAAGACAGTTGTGGCAGGTTCCAGTCTTGGGAGGATTGGGTTTTTAAGAAGGGATGTGTTCAAGGCATTTCCCAGGAACTGATTTTTCTTGTAGTTGCACTCAGCATGGGTCCAGCAGTCACCACCATGGGGCATTCTGGAAGAGGCCATTCCCTTGAAAGGTGTTCCTGCCTAAGGGACAGTGTCAGGCTGTGGGCTCTGTAGAGTGAATACCGCCCCGATGGCTTTCGTGCCCAGCTCCCTCCTGGGACACACCAGGACTGCTGGGCACCAAGTGCTACATCCCACACTGCAAGTGTGGGCCCTCAGCCTCTCATCGAAGGGCTCTTGGGGAAGGAATCAGTTATGTACAAGTGACCTACATGGGAGGGTTTTCCATATGGGACTGGATTCAATTCAATGTGACTTTTGAAACCTTTAAACTTGAAAGGATATTTTGAGTTCTGTTCTTACTAGTGGAAAACACTTATTCTCTTAAGGCTCTTTCCCTTTAAGCTTGAAAGGATATTTTGATTTCTGTTCTTAGTAATGGAAAAGAAAACCTTATCCTCTTAAGGCTTTCAAATGGGTTGAAATAGGTACTCCCACTCAAAAAGAATGAAGGTTAAATGCCATTCTTCCTCTCCACTATCCCCCTTCACACCCCCCACCCCCCACCCCAGCAAGGGAGATAATGGGAATGTGGCTAGATAAAGGGAAGAACTGAATAATCCATTTTGATGTCTTCATCTTGCTTCATTCTTACTAGAGCCACATACTTTTCTGCAAAATACATCTGGACTTGTGGAGAGCATGAGGTGGCAGGGGAAGGGAGTCATGCAATGGGGAAGTGAGGCAAAGAGCTTGCAATGCAAGCTATCTGTTTTTTCCCCTCTTTGCTTTGAGCCTTGATCCTATAATAGGGAGCTCTGGTGAAATGCCAATGCAAAGCAAACTCAACAAATCTTTAATCATGATTTAGTCAAAGCAGATTGCTAGTGGGAATGTAACACAACTTATAGTTCAAAACAGTGGTATCCAAAAAAAAAAGTATAGTTTGTTCTGCCTTATTTACAATGGTTTAGGTGAATAGCCTGAGGTTAGAATGTGAAGCCTTTCTAGCAGCTGGCCTGGCAGGAAGTTTGTTTTGCCTGGTGTCTGTGGTGACTGAATAGGCATTGTCTCCCAGCAAATAATTGGGTGGGCTCAGCCATTAACTTCTAGCCAGGTCATTATTT